AGGTGATGTGGGTGAGGCAGCAACAACAACAGTGTGAGGGAGGTGATGTGGGTGAGCAGCAGCAACAACAGTGTGAGGGAGTGTGATGTGGGTGAGGCAGCAACAACAACAGTGTGAGGGAGGTGAGTGGGTGAGGCAGCAACAACACAGTGTGAGGGAGGTGATGTGGGTGAGGCAGCAACAACAACAGTGTGAGGGAGGTGATGTGGGTGAGGCAGCAACAACAACAGTGTGAGGGAGGTGATGTGGGTGAGGCAGCAACAACAACAGTGTGAGGGAGGTGATGTGGGTGAGGCAGCAACAACAACAGTGTGAGGGAGGTGATGTGGGTGAGGCAGCAACAACAGTGTGAGGGAGGTGATGTGGGTGAGGCAGCAACAACAACAGTGTGAGGGAGGTGATGTGGGTGAGGCAGCAACAACAGTGTGAGGAGGTGATGTGGGTGAGGCAGCAACAACAACAGTGTGAGGGAGGTGATGTGGGTGAGGCAGCAGCAACAACAGTGTGAGGGAGGTGATGTGGGTGAGGCAGCAGCAACAACAGTGTGAGGGAGGTGATGTGGGTGAGGCAGCAGCAACAACAGTGTGAGGGAGGTGATGTGGGTGAGGCAGCAGCAACAACAGTGTGAGGGAGGTGATGTGGGTGAGGCAGCAGCAACAACAGTGTGAGGGAGGTGATGTGGGTGAGGCAGGGTGAGCCAAACAGGGCGAGGTTCTCTATGTTTTATCACCACAAGGACTTCCTGGATCACCAGAAAATGCTTTTTAAATACAAGCCCGGCGACCAATCTTCCCTTCTCGCGTGCCCTGACGTACCCCTATCAGGCAATCTTCCCTTCTCGCGTGCCCTGACGTACCCTTACCAAGCAATTTTCCCTTCTTGCGTGCCTTGACGTACCCCTACCAGGCACTCTTCTCTCGTGCCTTGACGTACCCCTACCAGGCACTCTTCTCTCGTGCCTTGACTACCCCTACCAGGCACTCTTCTCTCGTGCCTTGACGTACCCCTACCAGGCACTCTTCTCTCGTGCCTTGACGTACCCCTACCAGGCACTCTTCTCTCGTGCCTTGACGTACCCCTACCAGGCACTCTTCTCTCGTGCCTTGACGTACCCCTACCAGGCACTCTTCTCTCGTGCCTTGACGTACCCCTACCAGGCACTCTTCTCTCGTGCCTTGACGTACCCCTACCAGGCACTCTTCTCTCGTGCCTTGACGTACCCCTACCAGGCACTCTTCTCTCGTGCCTTGACGTACCCCTACCAGGCACTCTTCTCTCGTGCCTTGACGTACCCCTACCAGGCACTCTTCTCTCGTGCCTTGACGTACCCCTACCAGGCACTCTTCTCTCGTGCCTTGACGTACCCCTACCAGCACTCTTCTCTCGTGCCTTGACGTACCCCTTCCAGGCACTCTCTCTCGTGCCTTGACGTACCCCTACCAGGCACTCTTCTCTCGTGCCTTGACGTACCCCTACCAGGCACTCTTCTCTCGTGCCTTGACGTACCCCTACCAGGCACTCTTCTCTCGTGCCTTGACGTACCCCTACCAGGCACTCTTCTCTCGTGCCTTGACGTGCCTTCTTAACATTTAACAGTTAAAATCTTTCTTTTTACATCCCGTGCAGGAAATAAAGAGTTAATTCCAGGTCAGTCTATTATTCTGAACATTACCAACGCTAAACAAGCCGTAGACGGACGTGAACAAGGAAGTAGAATAATACCAGTGACTCTTTAGTACTTCTGAGGGAGTACCTTCAAGTGGTTGCCTGATATTTTCTTGTATTCCTCCAAAGTTGCTCCTGAGGGAGTAAATTCAAGTAGTTGCTTGATATCTTCTTGTCGTTTGTTGTCTTCTCCAAAGTTGCGTAGTAAACAGGTAAATGAAAACTTTAAAACGACGTTTCGCCTGTGTATAAGCTTTTCCCGGTCGTGCTGGCGAAACGTCTGAATATAGCGTCTAATTCCTGTATTTTTGTCTTGCTCGTCTTGGTTCGGAATGATTCCATCCAGGGTATTGTTGAGTTCCTTCTTCACCAAGGACAGTGCCACACAAAGGACAGTGCCACACATTACAGGACAATGCCACACATTAAAGGATAGTACCAAACATTAAAGGATAGTGTCAGACATTTAAGGACAGTGCCAGACATTCAAGAAGAGTGCCACATATTCAAGGATAGTGCCATACATTCAAGGATAGTTCCACACATTCAAGAAGAGTGCCACACATTCAAGGATAGAGCCACACATTCAAGAAGTGTGCCACACATTCAAGGATAGTGCCACATGCGTCACAATTTCTCACCATCATCCACACAACAACACGAAACAAACGAAGCTGTACAATGCAGCCCAAGATGCTTGTGGCACAATAAGGCTTTGTCGAGACAACGTTTCGCAGACGATTCCCCATCTCCTTTGAGCGAAACCTTGTCCCAGTTAAGAGGTGCTCTGCTACACCTGCAACCCTGACTCTCGTACATACTCAAGTCTGTGACGTAAGTAACTTTAGAAAAAGCGACAAGTTGAAGAATGAGACGCTTGTGCAATATTTGAGAATCTTGAATGAGGAAACTTTTCACCAGCCAGTGGCTTCTTCAGTCCAATACAGAGAAAAACGGTGGAAGATGAAGAGGAAAATACGGTAATCAGTCCCTCAGCCTGGAGTCGATGTGTTCAGCCCATCAGTCTTGAGACAAGCTGAACACGGGGAACAAAAATCACAACAGCACAACTGGAACGATTCACAGCCAAACACAAGTGGAAGAGAACACTTCTGACGACATTTCGCTCCGTCTTAGACCATTATCAAGCTGCTGGTAGTAAAATGTGAGAGGAATTATAAACTCAAAATTGCGACGCATCTTTCGCTGCAAATCAGGCAAACAAACACTGGGTAAAAAGCGACCTTCGCCGTAGACAACACTGCATGCTTTATCATATGTGAATACTTGTTACACTTACAGGATCATATAAATATTTAGACTTACGACACATAACTGTCACTCGCCAATTTCGTCAACACGATGAATAACAAAAGTGTCTTGAAAGGCCAAACGATCTTGTAGTCTAAAATAGCATATTTCAAGCACAAATTTTGTAAACACGGACAACTTTGGAAAACCAAATTCTTGCATAGTTAATATTGAAAGTTCATATCTAGCAACCCAATCTTACACTCTTCCAAAGCCAAACAATCTTGCATAAACTTCATAGTTATGTTACTTACAGGGTTAAACAACGCTTGGGGAAGGAATAAAGGGGGGGAGGGGGTGATGGGGTATAATTAGGATTGAGCCACAAGGGAAAAATAGTTCTAGGTAACTCTGTAGGTACCGCTTGTAAGTACCGCTTGTACCTCTTGTAGGTACTTCTTCCACTTAAGTGATAACAGATTATGGTGGACACAGTTATGGAACTCATCTTGCTCATCAGTATGAATATGAAAAAAATTGAAGTTACAATACCGTATTTGGAACAACTCACAAATAACCCAGAAAGTAACAATACCATTACTGCAACTCTCACACACACACACACAGTGAAGAGGCGGGGCCAGGAGCTGAGTCTCGACCCCCTGCAACCACAATTAGGTGAGTACACACACACACACACACAACACACACACACAATACCATGGCTGGAACAATTCACAAATAACCCACACCTTAGGGAAAAAACTTTTAGACGACCTTTCGATCCGTCCTGAGCCCTTATCAAGTCACAACTGAGCGAGAAAGATCAGAGAAGTCTTACCAGACGGGTCAGGAAGGAGGAGTTAGGAGTGGGTAGTAGTACATGTACATGTGAACTGATCTATGCTGACCTCTGCATCGGTGTTACGTAGTCATACCACGTACACAATTATATTCCTCATTAACCATAATTATTCCATATTAAAATGAACGCAACCCTGATTATATTAACACAGTATACACTGATTCATAATTAATATTTGCGTAAGATAGTACTGAAGATACAGGTGCAAAACAATCTTTAATAATAATAATAATAATAATAATAATAATAATAATAATAATAATCTTTAATTTTAAAATTACTTGATACAACGCATGTGATATCAATAACTTACTATAAGAGAAAGTCCCTGGTTATACCGAACATTTCGGGTAAATTAGGTTAATTTTATCCCCAGGATGCGACCCACCCCAGTCGACTAACATCCAGTTACCTATTTAATGCTAGGTGAACAGGAACAACAGGTGCCTTAAGGAAACATGTCTTAATGTTTCCACCCGCACCGGGGATCGAACCTGCGAGGCATCGTTGTCACGATAAAAAATTGAGCTCTATCTCGTCTTTTTTAATTATTTTTCATATTCTTCATAAAAGTATCCTACAATAATGAAAGTGAATTAAAATTTCTAAAACAAGTTGAATTTTCTATATATTGTGAAGGAAGGTTTGAATTCTAGACACGAAGGTTTAAATTCTACACACGAAGGTTTAAATTCAGGACACGAAGTTTTAAATTCACGACATGAGGGTTTAAATTCAGGACACGAAGGTTTAAATTCAGGACACGAAGGTTTAAATTCAGGACACGAAGGTTTAAATTCAGGACACGAAGATTTAAATTCAGGACACGAAGGTTTAAATTCTAGATACGAAGGTTTAAATTCTAGTTACGAAGGTTTAAATTCTAGTTACGAAGGTTTAAATTCTAGATACGAAGGTTTAAATTCTGGACCCAAGATACACGACACTGACAAGATATGGAATAACACACACACACAAACTGCAATAACTTAACAACATGTTTGTCGACAACGTTTCGGTCCTGTGACCCATCTTGAGTGACCAGGTTCCAAGGACCATCACACTACCAATATAAACACTAACTCTTGAGTCCTTCCTTTTTCTATCCTTATCCACTGATTTAAAAAATATCATCATATGATTAAAAATATCACATTTATTTCCAAAGTTTTATCTCTGTGGATGTAAATAATAACGTCGATTCATCTTGTATTTACAGATGGGGAGGAGTTTCCCAGCGACCTTGACGGCCTGTGAGGCAGCAACACGTGATAAGAGATGAATAACGTGCATGGAAAAGCGTGAGTGATCTGAGTGGGTAAAGACATGTGGTGCATCGCAAGTTGAGTAACCCAATGACGGAAAAAACAGGAAATTCGTTGTGATAAAGTGAGGAGAAGACGACGGGACTTAGTACGGAGCAGGCAGCCGTCCCAGCCAGACCGGCACCCCACACTTGTGCCAGACCGCCCTGTATGTGCGCGTGTGTGGCAGTGTATGTGTGTGGGGGACTAACCACACCCTCATCTCTGTGCCATACGCAGCGACCATCCCGCCACCATGCATCTTCTACTACTGGTGAGTACCACTCCAATCTTTACCCCCAACACTAACAGACTTGTGCCTGCGCTGTGTATGAACATTAACTATCAATGATGAGGGAGGCAGTGACGATCAGGGGTCAAGAGGTCACCCATTTTTCCAGGCAGTCTAATAGGTTTTACGGTGTTCATACACGTGAGACGTGGATTATAATTTCCGTGCATGCAAGATCGTCGTCAATAAACATGTTCTTGAATTACGATCCAGTTATGTTACACACACACACACACACAGTAGTGGAAGCAGGATAAGGCTCTTGGAGCAGGGAGAGAGTGGTCCACTCTCACCTTCGAGAGAGTGCACCTTGTAGGTCCACTCTCTCCTTGCGAAGGGGCGGAACCAGGAGCCTAAGACTCGACCCCTGCAACCACAAATAGGTGAGTACACACACACACACATTTTACGCAACAAACAACACTAACCTCTAGATCTCTCTCCTCGGTTAACAACGTCGTCTCCTGCAATTTTAGACTCGCATCCATAAGTCGGGTCCGGACCCGTGTCAGAGTTCATAGGTTCGACCCCACAGCGTCTCCTGTACCCAGGCAAGTTACAGTATGCCCTTGTATATACTGAGTTGGGTAAATTTTTTTTTTTTTTTGTGTGTGTATTTCCTGTGAAGGGTTGATGGTGCGGGATGATAACACATATACATACACACCTCCCATCCACTGCACAACTGTTAGCATCACAGCTGAATTTTGACTAAAAAGTCACAATACCGTGATTGAAACAATATACAAATAACCCGCACATAGGAAAGAAAAACTTATAACGACGTTTCGGTCTCACCAGGACCATTAACCAGCCACACGTCCTTTCTTTTCTCTCTCTTACTCCCGTCCCTTCTTTCCTCACGTATATATACTTGGCTCCCTCAACTTAGTGTGTCAGTGTGTGACTAGTTAATGGTCTAAGTCGGACCAAAACATCGTCATAAGTGTCTTTCTCCTGAGTGCGGGTTATTTTTGATAAATGAAGAATTAGTAAGGGTTTAGGAAAGTTTGGTATCAGTGGTATTCAACACCGTAAAGATGATAAATTAGACATGTGCAACATCCGGGTGTCTACCTGTAGACGTTTCGACTATACATGGACATAATATAACTGACTGTACAAATATATACAGGAGACAGTGGAAGACAGGGTAATCAGTCCCTCAGCCTAGGAACAGGTGATGAGAGCCGTAGTCTTGAATCTAAAGCACAGGTAGGTTCGCCAGGACGGGTCCTGGCCCGGGTGTTGTCCATGCTGTGACCCAGCAAGCACAGGCAGGAAAATGGTGCTTCTGTATTAAAGTCAATGAGATGCATTATACGAAGGTACTGTCACTGGTAGGTGGGATTTCCCAGTGGAAGTAGGTCATGTCCAAGAGTTGAATCAGGAGTTAGCAAGTAGGTTGTGGTGACGTTCTCTGTACCACTGTGCGCTCCAAAACATACCAAATGTTTATTTGCATACTATCCATCATCATTATTATTTACGCAATGGCTTGGAGTTTTACGACTCACTCGCCATGGGTTCAAACCCCACCCGTTCCGTGGTTTGATGATTATAATTATTGTTTTCATTATTTTATCCTTCAAGTCTTTTCCTGCTATTTAGAGAGAGACGGAGGACTTAGATCCGCTGGCTATGGCGGAATCGACAGCAGTGTTAGATGCCTCCGTAATAATATTACAACCCATCTCCTTGACACAACGCTGGTTTTTAAAAAGAGTAAAGAAGCAAAGTTGATATTAAGAGATAATGTTGATCTCTGTAGTGGAGGCACTGACCTACCTCTCTCTCTCTCTCTTTTTTTTTTTTTTTTTTTTTTACACAGGGTTTGACAGGTTAAGGATCCCTAGCTTTATTGACAGCTATTTACAGGTTAAGGATTCCTAACTTTATTGGCAAGCTAAGAGCTGTTACCTACATCAGCTCATTTGAAAGCATTTTTATTGTTATGAGACATACAAGTAGGAAACAGGATGAAGTTGGAGCCATCTGTGGGCCAGCATTTTCATTTGATCAACTGACTTTATCTCGTTGACATTATTATGCTGTACGAATGTGTTCCATACTCGAGTCATCCTGGGTATGCATGATCTCAGATGGAGTGATGTTCTGGAGAAGGGTACATCCAGAGTGAAGTTGCTGCTTTCTGCCCGTCTTGTGGCATAAAAGCTTGTTTCACGCTGTCCTCGAAGTGGATCCAAGTGTGGTATTTTGACAATATTGGCCTTGTACATAACAGTAAGGCCACCCACATCCCTCCTATGTTGAAGGCTCTGCTGAAATGACAGATCTATCCAGGATGGGTCCAGCGAGAGATGAGACGTCTTGCTCTGTTCTCTACTCTGTCAAGCAGTCGCAGATGAGGGGGGGGGGCGGGCAAACCCAAAAAAGGGGAAACATACTCAAGGTGCGAGCGTACTTGTGCATCGAACAGGATCTTGAACCCCTACGTCAAGAGGGGGGAATACGGCGAAGTCTGTAATTTCCCCGGGCTGCCTTGTTTGCAAGATTTACAACATGGTTCTTAGTTAGTTTGGGTCAAATTTCCCCCCAAGGATACAACTTCTTCCGGTCCCAAAACACCTCCCATTCACCCTCTCTCTCCTCTCTCGCCTGCCTTCAAATGATCTCTGTAGAGCACTGACCACCTCCCTCTCTCTCTCTCTCCCCCTTCCTTTCAAATGATCTCTGTAGGAGGCACTGACCTACCTTTTCTCTCCTCTCTCTGCCCAAAATGATTTTTGAGGGGAGGCACGACCTACCCCCTCTCTCTCTCTGCCTTCATAATGATCTCGTATGGAGGCACGACCACCTCTCTTCCCTCTCTCTCTCTCTCTCTCTCCCTTCATAATGATCTCTGTATGGGGGCCTGACCTCCCTCTCTCTCTCTCCTCCCTTCATAATGACCCTTTTAGTGGAGGCACTGACCTCCCCTCTCTCTCTCTCCTTCCCTTAAAAAAAAGATCCTTTAGGGAGGCACTGACCTACCTCCTCTCTCCTCTCTGCCTTCAAAATGCTCTGTAGTGGGGGCACTGACCTACCTCTCTCTCTCTCTCTCCCCTTCATAATGACCTGTAGTGGGGGGCATTGACCTACCTACCTCTCTCCTCTCCCTCTCTCTCTGCGTTCCAATGATCTCTGTAGTGGAGGCACTGACCTACCTCTCCTCTCTCTCTCTCCCTTTCATAATATCTCTGAGGGGAGGACTGACCTACCTCTCTCTCTCTCTCTCTCCTCCTTCATAATAAACTCTGTAGTGGAGCACTGACCTACCTCTCTCTCCTCGTCTCTCTCCTTCCAATGACTCTTTTTGGGAGGCACGACCTACCTCTCTCTCCTCTCTGTCCCCCTGCCTTCAAAAATGACTTTTAAGTGGAGGCACGCCCTACCTCTCCCCTTTCTGCCTTAAAAATGACACTGTATGGAGGCCCCTGACCTACCCCCCTTCTCTCTCCCCCTTCTAATGCTCAGTAGGAGGCACTGACCTTCCTCTCTCTCTCTCTCCTCTTCTCCTTCCCCATAAGATCTCGTAGGGGGGGCACGACCTTCTCCCCTCTCTTCTCTCTCTCTCTCTCTCCCTTTCAAAAAGATCTCTTTTGGGGGAGGCACTGACCTACCTCCCCCTTTCTCTCTGCCTTCAAATGATCTCGTAGTGGAGGCACTGACCTACCTCTTCTCTCTCTCTCTCTGCTTTCATAATGACTTGTAGTGAGGCACTGACCTACCTCTCTTCTCTCTCTCCTCTCCCCTTCAAATGACTCTGTAGTGAGGCACTGACCTACCTCTCTCTCTCTTTTCTAATAATCCCTGTATGGAGCACTAAACCTACCTCTCTCTCTCTCCCCTCTCTCTCTCCTCTCCCTTTAATGACTCTTAGTGGAGGCCTGACCAAACCTCTCTCTCTCTCTGCCTTCTAATGATCTCTGATGGGGCACTGACCACCCCTCTCCTCCTCTTTCATAATGATCTCTGTATGGGGCACTGACCTCCTCTCTCTCTCTCCCCCTTCATAATGATCCTGTATGGAGGCATGCCTACCTCTCCTCTCCCTCTAATAACCCCGTATGGACACTGACCCTTCCTCTCTCCTCCTTCAAATGATCTCTGTAGGGGAGGCACTGACCTCCTCTCTTTTTCCCTCTCCTCCCCTCCTTCATAATGATCTCGTAGTGGAGGCCCTGCCTACCTCTCTCTCCCCCCTCTCTTTTTCATAATGACTCTGTATGGGGGCCTGACCTACCTCTCTTCCCTCTTCTCTCCTCTTCCTTCAAATGATCTCTGAGTGGGGGGCACTGACCTACCTCCTCTCTGCCTTATAATATCTCTGAGTGGGGCACGACCTACCTACCTCTCTCTCTCTCTCCTCCTTCTAATGATCCTGTAGTGGAGGCACTGACCTACCTCTCTCTCTCTCTCCCTTCATAATGACTTGTATTAAAGGGGCACTAAACCTACCTCCCCTCTCCCTTCATAATGACTCTGAGTGGAGGCCTGCCCTACCTCTCTCTCTCTCTCTCTCTCCTGCCTTATAATGATCTCGTAGGAAGCACGCACCCTCTCTCCGCCTTCAAATGATCTCTGTATGGAGGCCTGACCTACCTCTCCCTCTCTCTCTCCTTCATAATGATCTTGTAGTGGAGGCACTGACCTACCTTCCCCTCTCTCTCCCCTTCTCTGCCTTCAAAGATCCTGATGGAGGCCTGACCTCCCTCTCTCTCCTCTCTCTCCTCCCTTTCATAATGATCTCTGTAGGGGAGCACTGACCTACCTCTCTCTCTCTCTCCTCTCCCCCTTCTCTCTCCTTCATAATGATCTTGTATGGGGGGCACTGACCTACCTACCCTCTCTCTCCTCTCCCCTCTCCCTTTCACAATATCCGTAGGGGAGGACTGACCTACCTACCTCCTCCCTCTCTTTCCCTTCAAATGATCTCTGTGTGGGGCACTGACCACCTACCTCTCCTCTCCTCTCCTCTC